CAGCTCTTATATATATATATATATATATATATATATATATATATATAAAAAGATAAAGAGGAAAAAACTGTGTTAGCTCACATTGTAATATATTCAGAGTACTTTCGACATAGCATAATGTCATCATCAGGGTATTGTTAAACATAGTGTAAGTTAGTGTTCATGGTTGTGAAGGACAATAATTGTTGTGGTCATCTGAAGATTACCACTTTTATATGTGGCGTCACAAACTTTAAAGGGAGGTAACTAGGTAAGCTGTAGAAAATTCCATGCTTGAGTACTTGCTAGATAAAGGAAAAACTATTAATGACAAGCGCTAACATTTAAAGACTATCTATTGTACACATTTTAAAATGTTTGTGGAGTATTCATAATTAATTTTATTGAGGTTTGGTTTCAATTTTTGGAAAAAAAAAAAAAAAATATATATATATATATATACACACACACAAGCAAACACTTTCCGGTTGTTAAATCTAATAAGGTAATTTATTACCCTTATCCTCATTGGGTAACAAATATTGTGAAACTGTATTTTTAGTCTAGACATTTCCTCCAAATCTACAGAATTATGGAACAAACACATGATATATTTTCTATTTTATTATAAAGACTGTTTTTATAACCAATAATTTTTCACAATTTGGATTTTAAGAAATATATTAAATTTTTTCTCCAATTGTATGTCAAATGATGCCATATATTTTAAAGGAATCTGGAAAATATTTCTTTTTCTCAAATAATTTGTAAAAGATGACAAAGCTATTATTTTTTACTACTTTTGTAGAAAGGCACATCCCCCCTCCCAAATTCATTTAATCATAGATTTGCTGGGTTTTTTGACTCATCAGGTTGTTAGGGACATGCATGGGTATGTGGTGTTACTCACTGTCCTTCCTGCATTGAAAAAAAAAAAAAAAACTTGTCACTCCGCATTCTTTTAAAGGCCTCTTCCACCCCATCATCTTTGTTCTTGGAAGGGTTATCTCCTCTTTCAAATCAGTTGCATTATTTATTGCATATTTTCTCTACTTTGTCATAAAAATAAAATTTTATCTTTTCTAAGTCAGTTGTTGCTGAATTAATCACTCTGAAGACCAACACTGCAACAGAAGTGCAGTTTAGGGGAAGAGGCTTTATTTTAATGCATGTTGTGTCTGGCAGCTGCTTCAGCTTCAAACCCTTACCCATCTACTGGAATGCCACTATAATGTCCTCTCAATAATGCCTTCCTGAATTGTGTTCTTTGATAATGGAGATCTGTTCAGTTTCTCATTTCAAAGTTGATTTATTACATGTACTTTATCAAATTAGTATTGGATTTGTCAGATCCAAATCTCTTTCGCCTGAATAAAGAGTGAGAATATCTTTGTGGAGCAACCAGTCCTTTGGCTAGGGTAAAGGAATTTCAGCATGGGGTGGGGCACCACTGGTTTGAGTTAGGAGTTTTTCTGAATCATAACAGCCATTTTTCTTACTACATTGAGTATTCATCCCTATCATGTTCAAAGTTTGGGACACAGGGCTCAGCTATAAGATGCCCCACCCACTCATCCCCACCCTCTTCCCTTTTTTTTTTTTTTTTTTTTTTTATACTTGTTTGTTTGTTTGTCTTTTGTGCACTTCTTGCTATCAATTTCCTCTGTTTACGGCTAAAGTGTTCCCTTTGCATTGCTGGCAAGACATTCCAGAATATTTCACTCCACTATTCCCAACATTTTTGTTAAGCTTTGGTAAACATGGGGCTACTTCTCAGTCTTCCCTCCCCTTATCTGTTCTTTTTTTTTTTTTTAATTATTTCACATCTCTTCTCCTGCCACCTTTTTACTATTTCAGTTTATACATGTTCTTTTATTTTTCTTCTGTTCTCTCCTTTTTGATTTTCATCATTTTTATTGCCCTCTTGGCAAATTCTTTATAATTAAAATCTTAAAATCATTTTAAGGCAAATATCAGCTTGAGGAATTTTTTTTTTTAATCTGTTGCCCATTTTATTTCTAAATCAGTTTTTGCCCTTTTATCTTATCCAATTTGAAGGCTCCAAATAAAAAGAAAAAATATCAATTAAGCCATAGTCTTTTTCTTTTAAGTTAAATTTTTCTTGCATGTTTTCCTAAGTGAATCCTTTTAATAGTTGGCATAATTTAATGAATACAAACATTCCAACCATTTTTCTTTTGACTCAACTCATTCTTCTCTTGGGCTTCATTTTCTCTTAAAAAATTTGTTTGATTTTTCACTTGATTTTTTTGTAAATTATACTATATAAGAGATACTCTTAAAGCAACAAGAGAAAGGAAATTGTGGAGAACTATGATCATCTCTCATGAGAGGACTTGGTACACAGAGATTTCTATCTATTTTTGAACACCTCCCCTCCCACCATGTAAAGTTTAAAATTATAATACCCAATGGCAAATGTTTACTTGCAAATGTTAAAAACAAGTTTTTATTGATGAAAACTATATATAAAACTACCTAATTTCCCCCTCCCCAGCCACCACAAAATTGTGTAAAAAAAAAAAAAAAAATCTCTTAAGGTATCGGGTAGGTTAATATTCCCTCAGACACTGTAGACTATCGGTTCCTTAGACGAAGCCTAAGTCCATTTGACTGTAAATGGGAAGCTGGGGCTTAAATATCATCAAATATAATAGTATCAAATACTATCACTACTCTATACATTTTGTGTGTGTATGTGTGTGCATGCATATGCATTTGGTGGACCTGATGTGAATGTTCAATATATCGAGCATATTCTTTCTTGCTTTTTGCAAAGAAGGCCTGTTTTCTTATCTTTTATAAATTGTTGGTGGAGGGTGAGAATATATATATATATATATATATATATATATATATATATATATATATATATATATGAACCTTTTTAAATTCAAGAAGTTTTGCAAAGGAGAACATGTTTTTTTTTTTTTTTTAAACCTGTGTCGATCTGAAAATTTTTTTTTTTTTTAAAGAATTTGATTAGTCAGTCAATTTTTCAAGAGATGGATTCCTGTTGAAAATGGTTGCCTCTTTACACTTCCACCCTCAATGCCATCCAAGTAGAACTGAAAGAAATAGATGAAAGTGGCGGGGGGCATTATTTCATTTACTAAGTGACTTAAAAAAATGTTCAGTTTGACATCAGTCTTTTTCTTTTTAAACACTTAAATAGAATTGATACATGGGGCGCTGAAAAGGCTTGAGCCCAGGAAGAAATTATCCTAAATTATGTTCTTGGTCATATTTGAAGAAGTGAATGAAACCAAGAGCTTTTCAGACTCCACTCTTCCCATGTATGTGGGGGGGGCATAAATAATAAAGTATGTTTTCTTAAAGACCATAGGCAAGATTTGTTTTCATGTTTTTTTTCTTTTCCTCTTGTTTTCTTCCAATGTATGTTTGACTTTAATGTGTGTGATAGCTTTGCAACATTCATGAATAATATAAGTTTGAAGATATGATTCCTTTGATTAAGAACTTTTTATGGCACACTTGTCTGATGAATAGGATGTTAGTCTATGTGAAAATGTTGTGGTTGTTTGGCCAATGTATGTTACAGATTTTATTTCTACTATTGGAGATATAATCTAATGGGTGAATAGTATTTCTTTTTATGGAATTGAGTAGTTGTATCATTTGTAACTATAAGGTTAGTTAATCTCATGGTTATTTCTCTAATTAAGTGATGCATACTTATATTTGTTATGGCTATTTTGTCCGTAATTTTGCTGCACTTGCTTACAGTAGAAATGTTTTTTGTTTTTGTTTTTTTTTTTGGGGGGGGGTAGGCTCTAAATGCTATTGTTCCATAGACTTCATAAGTTTAGAAAGCTATTATTAATTACTGTTTCTTATGTTGTCAAGGAATTAAGAGGAAAATTGGTGGGACCTATTAATCTTATTTTTTTTATGAAAGCTATCATAAAAGACAGATTCCTGCCAATACAAATCTTGGCTATGGATTTTAAGAAAGCATGCTGCAAAAAAAAATGTAACACACACACACAAACAATTGTTATACAGAAGGTTACTTGTCAATGGTAGTGTGAAAGCCAGTATAAATGTAATTGAGAAATATACACACACACAATTGGTACACCTGTTTCAGTAGGCATTCCTCTCTCTTTTCTCAACTGAAATTAATGTCTACCAATGTGGAGAGACAAATGCCATTAGAAATTAATTTCAGATTTTTTTTTTTTTATTAAGAATCTGTCCACTCACATGTGTACCCACTAAATATAACATTTATTATAATAGTCAAATAAAAAATCCATTAATTATATATATATATATATATATATATATATATATAAATATAAAAAATGGACAAGGTCCGACAATTTATTTAATAAAAGACATATTTTATGTTTAACGTTGTTATTTTATAGATACAAGTATTTAAGCAAATGCTCTGTTTATGATAAACAGTTTAAATAACATTTACCGGCCTGAATGTCGAGAAATTTTCAAATAACAAATTCTGTTAAATTTCTCCGGACAATCATGTCTTTAATAAATATATATAAAAGTTAATGGTCAGAGTTGAATTAAACTTGGAAACAGTAGTATTAAAAAAGTACTCAATACACTTATAAAAAGATAAAAATATAACATGTAAAGCTTTTAAGTATAAAAAATTAGGAAATCAGCCAATTCCACAACCATGGTTTCAACCTTTCGGTATCATCAGGCTGTTTTGTTCAATTGATTTTCTAATGATTTATTTTTTATATTATTATATTATATTATTTTTTTATGTGTATATAAAATATAGCGTTCATACACGCTATATTTTATATACACTTGACTTTTATCCTATTCATCCCGCACACTTATTCATTTTTTTTTTTTTTTTAATTTTTTTTTTTAAATATAGCATTCATAAATTTTTATATTTTTAAAAAATAAAGCATTAGGAAATCAATTGACCAAAATCGCCTGACGATACCAAAAGGCTATAACCAAGGTAGTGTAATCGGCAGATTTCCTAATTTTATATAATTATGCATTCTACTTCTGGCAGATTTTTTTCAATAATAATGATAATTACTCATGTAGAAGAGTGGACATTTAATTTCAGGAATTTTTTTTTTTTTTTTTTTTTTTTTTTTTTTTCAATTTGTCAGCAAGAGAATTCATTTTTTGGCTGACATTCATTCCTTTGGACCTGAACCGATCATTCTAGAGATGAAGATGAGATGAAGCTGAAAATAGTCTCCTCTTCCCTAGTCCATTTTGATAATGTTTTAACTTTAAAGATTTTTCATAAAATAAAAACTGAACATCACTTTGTTAATGGCATTTTCTGAAACCATTTAGTATTAGACAATGTGTAATGTCTTTCTTTTTTTCTTCTTCTTCTTCTCTTGTCTCCCATCCCTTTTGCCATAAAATCTTTCTCCTCATGACTCGCATATCCAACTCCTCCAGCCAACCCACATACAGGAGTGCACTTCCCACTTTAACTCTTCCCCTATCCTCTTTCTTCACCCTATCACGCACACACACACACACATATATATATATATATATATATATATATGTATGATCTCCATCAATCAGGGTGTCTTTACACATCTGGACATCAGAGTGGGAAGAAAAAGATATGAGAAGTAGGATGTTATTTTACTGGACAGATTTCTTCTCTTTCTGCATTTTGGTCTCTGTCTAGCTAATTTTTTAAGTAGGTTGGGTCTTCAGCCCACTATATAAGGTGGAGATGCAGAAAAGTTCTCAGCCCAACCAAGTAAACCCTTCCTTTCCAAATTATAATGTTTGTCATTTGATCAGATTTTGGGAAATAAATCAAGCCAAGAACTTTTCACCACTTTTTTTTATAATTCCACACATATTGTTATTGGTATGCCATGATGGTTTGCAGAGAGTGATTTGTCGGTCAAACCACTCTTCCAAAATTACTTTAACTGCCAAAGTAAAGCTCTCATTCTTATAATCAGTTTTAGCAACACTTTGATGTTTTGGGGTTTTTTTGTTTTGTTTTTTTGTTTTTGTTTTTTTGTTTTTTGGGGAAGGTTAATAAATTGAGAATAACAGTTTTAGAGCAAATGAAAACAAAAAGGACACTTATACTTCAGAAAGAAACAAGTGAAATTTCTAGGGCGTATAATGAGGATGGAGGGCTTGGAAATATTGACACTCACAGGACACATTGAAAGCAAGAGGGACAAGAAAACAACACATGACCTACTTAATAATCTTGTATAAATGGATGACAGAACGGGATTTAGAAAAGTTAACAAAATTTACTAAGAACTACAAAGAGCAAGAAATTGTGGAGAGCCATGATAGCCAATGACTTGAAGAGAGATGACACATAGAAGTAATAGTCTGCATTTTCCCACTAAAAACCAAAATGCTTGTAATAACTGAGCAACAAATTATCAAGTTTAAAAAAAAAAATTTTTTTTTTCTTCCTATTGATTTCAGTCTAGTTTTGTCAATAACATGTTGCTATGGTTAATAGAGAATTATAATGTGACAAATCAGTTTCTCATAATAGCCACCCAGGAAATACCAAAGTTGCTACACCCATTGTCAACCTTGATAGGAGACCAGTGTTTTATTTTATTTTGAAATTATTTTTCAAATTGTGATCTAAGCTTCATACATTTGTGATAAGCTTCATACATTTACAATGTTCAAAGAATTTTTTCTTTTTAAGATGCGAGCAGCAATTGCAATGTACAATTTTTTTTTTTTTTTTTAATTTGCATTTGTATGTTTTAATTAAAAGACTGAGTTTTAAAAACATTAAATCCTCATATATTTTTTTTTCTATCTTCTAGAATGATGCTAAAACTCTTTTTGATGTGTCCTCTAATACTGATGAAAGTGACATGACTCCAGAATTGGCTGCCCTCTATAAGAGACTTTGGTCAGATTCAGGTGTTGTCTCATGTGTTGCAAGATCCAGGGAATACCAACTCAATGATTCAGCTCAATAGTAAGTGTTGCATGTCCTTTTGTTCCAAGATTCAATTTGCTTGACTCTGGTGCAACTTAATCTTCCTCCCAATCTCTCAGAATATGGATGAACTTGTGCACTCCAAATATAGACTTTTAATGGTGCTTGACTATTGGCACTGGTAAGATTGTGACAACTACCTTAGCTACTAACCTAACAGTAACCTTTTCATCTTTTAAAAAGTTAGGTCAAGAACTACGTCATGGAGTACTTGAAGATTAAGCTGTCATTGGCTTGAAAGATGAGCATCACTTTATAGTAGGAATCAAACTAAATATAATAGCTTCACCTGTTCTAAAAGTTGTCTGGTCTATTGTAAATTTGAAGGTTAGGGTTAGTGAAAATAAAACAATTATTATTCAGAATTTCTTGGAATCCTCATAATTACAGAATGTGCCAGCGTAGCTTTGCCTAGTCTGGCACAAGACTATACTTATGGAGCATTCAGGATGATACCCATTAACAATGAAACTAGTATAGCACTCATAATTACAGAATGTGCCAGCGTAGCTTTGCCTAGTCTGGCACAAGACTATACTTATGGAGCATTCAGGATGATACCCATTAACAATGAAACTAGTATAGCACTCTGTGTCAGGTACTTAGATATTTAAGTTTGATATAAGGCAATTTTTCTGGAGAACCCAAAAGGGGCTTCTCTTTTTCTTTTTTCTCCCCCCCCTCTCTCTCTCTCTCTCTCATTTCAGCTCATATTTGAACTATTTTCTTAAATCTTTTACAGCTACCTGAATTCTTTGGACAGAATATCAATGCCAAACTACATCCCATCAGAACAAGACGTACTACGGACCAGAGTAAAGACCACTGGAATTGTTGAGACTCACTTCACGTTTAAGGATTTGCATTTCAAGTAAGTTTGGGTCTTTTTCTTTTCTTTTTTTTTTTTTTTTTTTTTTTTTCCTTATGTAATTGGAACAACAATGTAACCAAAAACAAACTGAACAAATAGCCAATACCCATCATGGTGCTAACCCCCAACCCAAGATTGGGGTGGGGGATCTGCTTTTTATTTATTTATATATACAAATACACATGGGGTTTATTTTTCAACATAGTCTCCCTTGCGGGCCATGCACCTTTTTTTTCCATTAGTGTTGCCGTGCTTGGATCTCATTGATGAAGAAGTTTTCATCCTGTTGCTCAAAAAAGGTCAACTGCAGATATGACATCATCATCATCATCATCACTGTGATACTGGTTTCCAGCTTGGTTGATGCTAAGCCTTCTGAAACCCGACTAAAAGCACACCAGGCCTATCACATCACGGGGGAAAATCTGACATTGTTTGAGGCAGATCCAGCTGGTTTCCATGAATGCTTCCTAACCCAAGATGATCAATGGGTTCATCACTTTGAACAAGTGACAAAGAGACATGCAGTGGAAACATGCCTCCTCCATAGAAGGCCAGGTTGTTACAACCGCAGGGAAGATTTTATTAGATACAATAGGTATTGTGTTTATTGACTATCGGGCAACACCATCAAGTACTATGCAAACTTGCTGAAGCAGTTACGAAAGGCTATCAAGAGCAAACATCCAGGAAAAGTAATGAAAGGGGTCTTCTTTCATCAGGACAATGCTTCAACATACAAGTCCTTGATTGGTTTAAATTCCTGCTGTGCATGACCGAACTGGTTCATCAACCTCCTTATTCTCTTGATTTGGGCCCCCCATCTGACTATCATCTGTTCCCCAACATGAAAAAACACTTGATAACAATTCTTTACTAAATGTATTAGAGATGTTGGCAATATTTGTTTTTTGAGAATCGGAATAATTGAATGTCTTTTGCTTTAAAGAATTAGGAATTAAATTAAAGACAGGGAATTCAACAAAATTGATTTTAAAAAATTAATAAAGGACATAGGCAAAATCTGTCATATTTTGATAATATTAATGTTAACATGCAATGGTTGAACATCCAGTTCAATTCTGTTCTTTAAAATATTTAATTTTTCATGTTATTAGTGAAATATCTGTATATCATTGAGATTTTAATGGCACAACTTTTCAAAGAAAAGAAAAAAAATACATATGGATGGCTATACTATGGGGTCGTATTATACTCAAGGATGTAATTTATTCCTTTCAAAAACGGGGAGTTGTATTATACACCAGTAAATACGGTATGCATAAAATTGGTTTCCACAGATCCAATTTATATAGACTATCCTCTGTTACTAATGTTTCAAAGGGCACCTTTTTTTCTTTCTTTTTTTTCCCCCCCCCCCTTTTTCTGTGTGTCCTCACAATCTACATGCTCCTTAAGAAGGGCAGGGTGTGATATTGTCCTACATGAGAAAATGCCCCCACTTTTTTTCTTTTTAAATATAGGCAAGATAGGATTTTGACCAATGCTCAGGTTGCTTAAATTCAGTGCAAGGATTTGTCTTCAAATTGTTTAAATTTTTTTTCTTTTTTAACTGCTTGTATTAAAAGAGGAAAATTTAGAGAAGAATTTTTTTTTTTTTCTCCCACCCAGAATGTTTGATGTTGGAGGTCAGCGATCAGAAAGAAAGAAATGGATTCACTGTTTTGAAGGAGTTACTGCAATTATTTTCATTGTGGCTATGAGTGAATATGACTTGATGTTAGCTGAGGACCAAGAAATGGTAAGTTAATTTTTAATGGATTTTACTGGGCTTAGTCAGGTTCAAGTTAAAGAGAAAAAACAAAAGTGTGAAAAATTTAAACTCATCCTCAACAGGAAGTGCCATTTCAATGTCTTTCCATTGATCATTTAATAAGAGTGCACTTTATTATGAACGTGAGTTTTTGAAATTAAAAATGCAACTGGAATCTTTAAGAATATTTATAAAATTTAATTTTTCTGTTTACCCTTGCCATAATGATAGTCATTTTTTTATGGTTAAAGATACATGATCATGCATAAATTATGTAAAGTGATTATGAACTTTGCTTTCATTTGGCCGTGTGTAATACTAACGTGTTCCATTTGGACAAAATTCTATGAGCCTTGATTGCCAAACAATGCTGTTTAATATTTTTATATACCAATGATTTCGGGGTGGGGGATTCCTACCTGTTTTGAGATGTCCTTATCATCCCAAGAGTTGATATGTTGTTTTCATTCTCTTACTTGCTTATCACAATGTTTCAGCTGACCCATTTTAGGGGTGGGGGGATGATAAGTCCTCCTTTGCCCACCTGAGTTGTGCAAACCAAAAAAAAAAAAAAAAATAAATAAATAAAAAAAACCTGAGGGAAAATGAAAAATGGTGGTCAACATGCTCATTGGTCCCACTCTTTTACTGGTTTGTACTTTTATGTTGCATACTTGAAGAAGGTCGTTGCATACTTGAAGAAGGTCATAGAATGAATCAGCCAAAATACAGTAACAATAAAAAGTAAGCAAAAGTAGATTCAATTTCCAGACAACTCTTGGGATGATGTATCAAGAAAATCACTCAGTTCTTTAATAATTTTTATTTTCAACATTGTCTATTTTCTTATGTTTTCGTCATTTTCATTCTATAAGATTTTCTTGAGTTTGAACATCTCCCTATCTCCAAAAAAAGGTTTGAAATAATTTTTTTTTTCTTCTCCCAGAACCGAATGATGGAAAGTATGAAGTTGTTTGACTCCATCTGCAACAACAAGTGGTTTTCTGACACTTCCATAATCCTCTTCTTGAACAAAAAGGATTTATTTGAGGAAAAAATCAAGAAATCCCCACTTACATCTTGCTTCCCAGAATATGAAGGTGAGTTTCTGTCTATATTTTTGAGATGAGGTATTTACATTATTCGGACTATTGTCCTCATTTTTGTCGCCATATTTATTAAAACGCTTCAGCCTTCTTCAGGTGGCTGGAATGTTAAACTGAACCCTTCAAGGACACCGGGCACAGTGGATAAAGGCATTAGTTAGATCCAGTGACAGGACCCAAAAAGTGTGAGTTCAATACCTGCTTAAGGCAGTGGAGAACTTTCAGAGGGGAATTGACAGGAGATAACTGACAGGAGATAACTGACATTCATTAAACATGGCACATGGAACTAGAACAGTCTACCCCAGTGAATGAAATAATGGGTTCAGTTCGACATTCCAACCACCTGAAGAAGGCTGGAGCGTACAACTGCCGAAACGTAATAAATATGGCGACAAAGATGATGACAATAGTCCGAATAATGTAAATAGTGAAGATGAGTTTTTTTCAAATTTTATTTTATTTTTTATTTTTTTAACGTTCCAAGATTATGATTACAAATCAATATTTTCCCCACTGAACTAATTTTATGATTATTTTCAACATGGAAACTAAGCTATTATTTACTATCCTATATTCTAGAAATGAGTATACTTGGTATAGAAATGAGTAAATTCATTGCATTGGCTCAAAAATTGACTTTGCTTACAGTATAAATTAAAAACTGCTGCTGATGTGTGGCATTTGATGGCAATGTTAGTGAACATAATGCTTAAAAATGATTTGGAGGGAGAGAGTCAGTCGGAAATGAATCATTTCAGTTTGGATGTTTTTAGAAACCAAATGGAAAGCAGCTTTGATGCACTGAAGATTTATCTTGAAGCACATCTGTTTCCAACATTTAGATAAATTTGCATTAAGGTTTGAGAAAAGCAATAAAATAATCAGAATGTATCCAATTCAATGCCACAGACACGTTTCTTTTCTTTTTCTTTTTTTGTGTTGCTTTTCTATGTTTAAGTCATTTTAAAAAAAATTTTTTAATTTTTCATTACATCTTTAGCCTATTCTGTGATTCATAGGGTCACCCTACAAAAAAAAATTAGGATGGAAAAAGTGTCACTGAATTCACTTGTTCGAATGACATTACATTCTATGTATTACATGCAAAAAGGGAATATTTGCCACCCACTTTTTCCTGCCTCCTTTCTCTCCACCCTCTTCTTTTTTCATTTTTCCTGCCTCCTTTCTCTCCACCCTCTTCTTTTTTCATTTTTCCTGCCTCCTTTCTCCACCCTCTTCTTTTTTTTCATTTTTCCTGCCTCCTTTCTCTCCAATCTCTTCTTTTTTTCATTTTTTTCCTGCCTCCCTTTCTCTCCACCCTCTTCTTTTTTTCATTTTCCTGCCTCCTTTCTCCCACCCTCTTCTTTTTCATTTTTCCCTGCCTCCTTTCTCCACCCTCTTCTTTTTTTCATTTTTCCTGCCTCCTTTCTCTCCACCCTCTTCTTTTTTTTTTTTTTTCCTGCCTCCTTTCTCTCCACCCCTTCTTTTTTCATTTTTCCTGCCTCCTTTCTCTCCACCCTCTTCTTTTTTCATTTTTCCTGCCTCCTTTCTCTCCACCCTCTTCTTTTTTCATTTTTCCTGCCTCCTTTCTCTCCACCCTCTTCTTTTTTCATTTTTCCTGCCTCCTTTCTCTCCACCCTCTTCTTTTTTCATTTTTCCTGCCTCCTTTCTCTCCACCCTCTTCTTTTTTCATTTTTCCTGCCTCCTTTCTCTCCACCCTCTTCTTTTTTCATTTTTCCTGCCTCCTTTTTTTAAGAAATATCCAAATAAGTAAATCAGAAATAGTGCTCTATAATAAATAATTATTTCCCTTGAATATTTTTTCATGTTGTGCCTGAACAGAAACCAAACATTTTTATTCCATATTGAGAATTCTTCTGTCAAGCTGGGATAATGTGGAATGCTAGTGTATTTGTAGCTATTTAAAAGAATACAATGCTCCAGATGTCATGCAAGATTTTTGTTCTTTTAATGTCCTATCAAGATTGATTGCTATTGGTAAATCTTCCCTCTTTTTCTCTGTTATAGGTGCAAATACATATGAAGAAGCAGCTGCCTACATCCAGGTTCAATTTGAGAACTTGAACAAGCGGAAAGACTCCAAAGAGATTTACACTCATTTCACTTGTGCCACAGACACCAACAATGTTCAATTTGTGTTTGATGTTGTCACAGATGTTATCATAAAGAATAATCTCAAAGATTGTGGCTTGTTTTAAAGGTTCGTATTTCTCCTTGACTCATTCAATTATTCCATACATTCTACTACCTCTGTCCCATAAAAATTAAGTTTGCCTACGCATTTCATACACTAAATGTAACTTATAATGTGACAGATAAATTTTCCGAGATATCATTATCATTTCAAATGTCGGTGAGCCTATGTATTTCAGTCTTCTTACTTTTATCACAATGTTTCGGCATTTCTATTCTCTGGCCTTCCTAAAATGTAGAATTTGATGCACACTCGGCCAATAAAATATAGAATTGCCTCTCTCTGACACTGGTGTAAATCTTTGGCATAATTCTATCACAAAAATAATATATATATATATATATATATATAATCCAAGTGAATCCTATTAATATAATATAAATTAAAATATTAAAACTGATTCACAGAGAGAGCTCAATATTTTATTCAAACAGAATATATATATATATATATATATATATATATATATATAACAATAAATTAGGATTACTCTATAATATGATGATCATTTCACCTTGTAAAATTAAATTACAAGGATTTTTCAAATCCATCAGGTTAAAATCAAAAAACTCCATTGATTTTTATTTTTCTTTGAAAATCTTTGTAATTTAATTTTAATTTACATGGTGAAATGATCATTAATATTATAGAGTAATCCTAATTCTTATTGTTTATTTATATATATATATATATATATATATATAACTAAAACTCTATAATACTATTTAGCTGAAACAAAGTAATTTTTTTTAAGTTATTCAACAGTGCTTGAGAATGGAACAAAAACTTTTAATTCTAAGTTTAATTTAAGGTTTAGGTTGCAACATAATAATTTCATATATATATATATATATATATATATATATATATATATATATATATTAATGCAGAGAAACTTGTCATGCCAACTTTGAAGTTTCATGATTGCATTGTAGTAATGCCTTTTACTCTTCATGGATGTTGGCTCCTCTGCTGCTATTGATGCTCTACCCTTTTGATATCAAGCACTTTGACAAAAACCTGCCTGCCTAAAATGCCTTTCTAAAGAAGCAGCAATTTTGGTACAAAAAAAAAAAAAAAAAATCTTACAAATTAATACTCTCTCTCTCTCATATATATATATATATATATATATATATATATATATATATATATATATATATATATATATATTCTGGTAGAAGGGATAAAGCAAACCATGCTCACTTATTGAGTGACAGGCAAATGAAATGGATATTTCTTCCTTATCTCTCAAGACAAGAGATGTCAGCTCAAATGTGTGTGTTTTTTTTTTTTTTTTTTTTTTGTTGTAATGTGTGGTAACATGGACAATTTAGTCATAAATCTAAAAACTCACATATATGGATATATTTCTTGCTATGATGTATTTGTTTTACGTTACTACTATAAGAGAATAACCTCTCTTGATACTTTTGGTATCAAATGTATTCTTAAAGATAACTGGGGAACAGTAGTGTAAACAATTGTTTCACTTTCTTTACTCCTTTCTATCAGTAATTTTCATTGCTTTGTAAAAGTTTTTTTTCTTATTAACTTTACCTACATTGTTTCACTTTTTTCTTTCTATTTTAGGGCTGAGAACTCGGCTAAGAGAGAACACCAGCTGACTGCCTGCAGCCAACAACTGACCACTCGGATGAATGTCTACTCCCCACTGTACAAGCCAGACATGACCATGTCTATTGCCATACTGCTATCAGTTACCTCTGGTTATTTTTCCTGCTGATTCACTGCTACTGCAACTGTCCTTGTAGCCCCCACCCTTTCCCAACTTCATTCACTCTTGACCCCCTTTTTTCTATCTTGCTACTTTGGTCATGGACAATTTTCGGCAGAAAAAAAAATTACATAAAATGAAGTGGAAAAAAAAATTACTTTGACACCCCCTTCCTTTTCACACTATTTTTCCATCATCCTCCTCCTCTTTACAGATTACTAACTGTTCAACCTAGTCATTTGTTGTGTATAAAACATACACAAACACACACAAAATCCATGTTCTGCTGCTGTTTTTTTTTTTTTTTTTCTTCTTCTTCTTCCCCTGTTAGTGGGGGACTCTCCCCACCCCCTGACTTTTTTTAAAAAAAAAAAAAAAAACGAAAAAACAAAGACTTGCTAATAAACAAGTTAATTTTGTGGACTATCAGTTATCATGAAAAAACGTTTTTCTTGTGTTTGTCTTTTAATCACTTGAATTTCTCCTCTGTTCCACCACACACACATACATACATACATACATATTTTATATTTGGATACAAACACTTGATCCCCTGATTGTTTATTTTTCTTTCGCTAGGCTTATATTCAAGGCATTAAACACAAAATGCAACAGAATCATTATCAAATTCCTTTTATTTTATCAAATCCTTTCCCCATATGTGTATGCATGAGAAAGCAAATGTTCTAACTTCATCTCAGGTTAAGGTGGGACTTTGTTTTAATATATATAATATAAAGGGTTTGGGTAAAAATAGATTCCTTGAGTATAATAGGTAAATTGTCTGAAACATAAGGGTTTTTTGTTTTTGTTTTTTAACTTTTGTTCTCTCTCGTAAAAAGTCATCCCTACCCTGAGCTTGTATATTTTCCTATTCTATAGTGAATGTTGGTGCTGTGGACTGTTCACATCCCTTTTGTATGATTTGATTTTAGCATGGCTGAAGGAAGTACTGAATGACCCCCGCCCCCAACCCAAGGATAAAAACTGTCCTGGCGCTATGAATAAATAGATGTCGATCATTAATTCTTTTTCTGTCGCTTTAATTCTCATGGCTTTCCTAAATTCTTCTGTTTTTAAGAGAAAAAAAAAATTGTTCATTTTCACATCCCATTTACTTTTTTTCTATAAATTAATACAGAGAGTCCTCAGGTTATGACACATCATACAAAACTAAACAGTGTCATAATGTTGTTTGTTTTTTTTTTTTGTTTTTTTTATGTAAGTCAGAATATATCCGTAAATTCCTCTGAATAAACACTTACATCACTCATCTATGTTAATGCAATAATAAAGTAATCTAGGACATAAAATCTTTTTATATGTTAACATAATTAGGACTGAAAAAAAACACACACATGGGGGACATAAATAAAATACATTTAACAAAAGGAAATAAAAATGATACATATTCTCATACATGTTCTTCCACTGTGCCATTTGTGTTGTACGTACAAGGCAAATGACATAAGTCAAAACAAGGTTAATGGAGATTGACTTGTAGCCAGGAATCATCATAGGTTGGTACTGTCATAATTGCTGTATTTGGCTTGAGAGCACCTTGAAAACTTTTTTTTTTTTTTTTTTTTTTTTTTTTGCTGGACATGATTTTTATAGTGTCTAGCAAAAAGTTGTAATTACCCACCTGATTTTTTTTTTTTTTTTTTTAACTTTCATAAGAAAGTTAGGCCATCTCTGCTGTAGAGATACTTTTTTAAAAATAAGAGATGAATTTAAAAAAACAACAAAAAAATCCAGATCCATATTCAGGTGGCGAGAGGGGGGAGGGTACAACAATAAAAAAAAATATATATATATATATATATATATATATATATCATTCCCTCCTTTTTCTTTCTGAACTTTTAATCGTGATGATTCAATATTGCGTTAAGAAAAAAAAAAAAAAATTAACTCTGTTACTGACAAGATTTTTTTTTTTTTTTTTTTTGTATTGCATTTAAAATTTAATGGTGTTGGTAAATGATACCCAGCCATATTTGTAATAAAGGTATTTTCTTCTCTTGACTGATAAATGTGGTGCCAGTCTTCTACCCATCACATAATATCCTTGTCAAAACAAAAATACAAATTTGTTAATTTATACATTTTATTTTTTTTATTTTTTTCTCCAAGGACGTAAATCTTTGTAGATATTCACAATTCCCCCTCCCCTTCTTCACGAATTCTCAAATAATGAATTATCAGGGAAAGGGGAAATTTAAGGGTGGAGAAATCTTATCAAATAATGAAGAGATGACACAGCCATATTGATCGTTTGTGTGTTTGTCAGACAACATTTTCCCTGTTGCTGCCTTTGTCTCATGCAATCGCCCCCTCCCTAAACCGAGACTTCCAATACCCACCCCCAACTTCAATTAAGAAAACATCGTGAGCTGTTCTCTTTTCAGTCATTTTTTTTTTTTTCTTCTTTCTTTCCATTTTTTTGGGTCCTGCAAAATTAATTCATTTCTATTTATATTTTCTGTACTGCTACTAAATTTTATTCAATAAAAGCTAATTTCTAAAATAAAACAAAGATGTAAGTACATATTTGATTTTGTCTTGTCATTCTGATTGACCTTTTTTCATTTCTCCACATTCTTATATAGCAAAAAAAAAAAAAAAAATTGTTCATATGAGGACTTAACCCCACCTTCAGTAGAAAATTTGATACTTCTATAACTAACTTTATATGGTCAGAGCAGAAATTTAAACTTTTTGCATGAGCCAGACCGATTTACAGAATGATTTACACAAGAGAATTAAAATTCTGTTCAGTTTATTTTTTCTTAAAGTGAT